AATTAAGTCAATGATTTTCTAGTATTCAAGATTATACTAATATAATAATACTCTCCCTAATTCACCCCCTTACGAGTAAATTTTAACTCTAAAAGCTGAGCTTGACCGGGAAAAGGGACGGCTATTATTATTATTTGCCGTGGCGCTCCGGGGCGACTTAAAGATGATTGATGGTGCCATTTGACTTACAGGTGAGGAAAGCCCGGAAAACCTCACCCACCATCATTATTTGTATATAATTAAATGGTGGTGGCTCTTCTTCCAGCACGAAAAAGTGTACCTTGGTATGGCTCTGGGAGGACGATATAAAAACGCAATGCTATATAATAGACAGAAATAGAATAATACATTGCCGAAGGCGGACCATAATATCACCTCCTTGCCATCGAAAGAGCGTAGTCTTACGTCCAAATATAATTAAGCGTCTCATTTGTACTTTACTTGATGCGTTGGTTAATTTACTGTATACAGGGTGAATCCTAAGTTGATAATTCTTTAACTGCGTATAGAAGTCGTTAAGAGCAATATCTTTTTCAACTAACTTTTTTAAAAAAGATACAAAATAAAAACATTAAATCCGGACCTGGATTTTTGTATAAAGAGTAAGTCTGTTTATATTGCAATGGTTTTTTATATGAATCATTATTCTATTGTGTATTGGCTATTGTAATTCAGTCGAATGTAATTTCAGTAGCGTGTTATTTGGAATTTTATTTGTTCGGTTTGGTAAATTAAAAATAAAGTGCGTTTAGAAGAACATATTTTAAATATTATCGACAAAGATACAATAAGTACGCGGGTGATTGCAGATGAGGTGAAAGGGAGTAAGTCAAAGAAAAGTGTGGACAACATTGCGACAACTTGAAGCTTTCCCCTCACAGAGTTCAGTTCTGTAAATGGTTTTTACAACGGCGTGAATGTGATCATTTTTCGACGAAAGTTCTACCCAGTATTTAACTTAGATCTATTATGGAATAAATTTCTTATTTTTTAGTTTTCTTTTAAGTCATTAAAAAGTGTGTTTTAATGACTTCTATATACAGTTAAAAAAAATCAACTTAGGATTCACCCTGTATAATATAATATTACTATTATATGGTTAGTTTACTTTTGAGCTAAATTTATGTTTTCATGTACTAGTGACAAAATTAAATTTTTGATGTTTATGTGTACCTAGGTACTTCTGGTTTTTGAATACTCACCAGGTATTCAATTTTTTTTGTGTGTCATCGGCATCAACTACTATAGTTATTAGCCTCGTGTTCTGTGTAGGCTTTGTTACTGTTTCCCAGCGCCACTTTAGGAACAGCCCTGTTAATTAGTACCCAACAGCGAATGGTCGCGTGGGGAATCCTACCAAGGCATCAGAATTAATTTTAAATAATTAAATTAAAAGAAAAAATCCTGGCCAACGGTGGGATTCGAAACTGGGACCCTTGGATCCGCAGGCAGAGACTTTACCACTAAGCCACCCACCCCGTAGGGTATTCAAATTTTCACAATAATTTTAATTTACAGTTTGAGATATCACAGAAACTTTTATGTAGTACACCTTATATATAGCTAGGTAATCTGTTCGTTTTTTTTTTAAATTTACAACTCATAAAAAAGTATCTGACTTGTCAGATACTAACCTATAATACAAAACTCAAACTACAATAGAGAATGAATAATAGTATATTACATAACAAGAGTGGAAAGTGTAACATTTCGCACGAATTAAAGTTTAGCACGAGCCGCGTAGCGGCAAGTGCGGAAAATAAACGAGTGCGAGAAATTACACTTTCCAACGAGTTGAGTCCTAATAAAATAATAGTGAGTAAAATAGTATATTACATTACGAGTGTGGAAAGTGACATTTTTCACACGAGTGGGAAATATTGTCGCACGAGTGCGACTATCACACGAGTGTGGAAAATCACTTTTCACACAAGTGATGTACAATATTTTTCCTACGACCACAAAATAATTTCATCAAAAAATGTAAAACCAGGTTATTATTATAATAATTAAAATTATTTTCTAAACACAAAAAAACTAAAAAACAAAAAAAAATAATAAAAACAAAAAAAATTCTGCCCGCGCAAGGATTTAAACGCGGTCGCTCGCCAGGTCTCAAATGGCAAAGTTGATAAAGTTTGACACTCTAAACATCTGAGCTAATAGGCCTTGCGTCAATTGAATGATCTAATCGATTATGAGTTTAATCAGAATAAAAAGCAAACATAACTTAGTTATTTTAAAATTATTTTAATAATTGTTAAAAATAAATATCTAGGATCTAATTTACAACAATTTTAATAATTTAACAATCATATTGATTTTAGTATTAATATGGGTATTACATAGATCAAATTAGAAATGATACGTTTGACATTTTGTGACAGCTGATGCGGAAAGTAGCATTTTCGTACACGGTTGGAAAGTAAATTCTTATTCATACGCATGTGATATAGGGCACTTTCCATAGGACTATATAGTATGATATGTGTCACTTTCCTAAGTGGTCGTAGGAAAATGTTTTTTTTATTATTTTACAATTTTAAAAACCTATAACAGTATATTATGCAACGATCATGTAATGATGGTTATTAATACACGAGCATTAACCGGGATACGAAACGAGCCAAAGGCGAGTTTCGTATGGTTTATGCGAGTGTTTTAATAACCATTACATGAGAGTTGCATACGCTATTTTTTCTACACCCGATAAATAATCAAGACCTATAAATATTATATTTATATTGGTATTGAACACAATAACAGTAATTACTCGTATTTCTATAAAAAATTCTACAAAATTGTAATTAATGGTATTACTTCAGGTATTGGTATTTCCCTAGATTTTTGCGGTAAAATATTTTGTACTGTATTTTCTGCTTTCTCCGATATGTGTGGAGGAGTCTTCTATATCGCTAATATCAGACATTTTAATATTATAATTATCGAAGTTTAGCTACCTACGAAAATTTAATACGTTTTGACAACTAAAATAATTACATAGGAACCTAGGACAAACGTCAAACAGCATGCTTGATTGAAAAATTGTAGGTTTCTATTGATTAAAAATCTGTATCGTAATGAAAAATCTGTATCATAATGGGTATCATTATGAAACGGATTATGGGCATATAAGTGCATTATTATAATACGGGTGTAGAAAAAAAACTATATTGCCTCTCATTTTATTCATAAAAGTTTGTATTGACAACTATAATGATAACTTTGACGTACATATCACAGGTCAATATTTTTTTACTTTTCAATACATGTGTGTTTTGTTACTTTTCAATACAAGTGTGATATATATATATATATATATATATATATATATATATATATATTTTAGAACAAATGAGTGGGCTCACTTTCATTATCATAATGTGGCCGTAGAAAAAAATACTTTATTTATCAGAAACAATAAGTAGTAACCTTTGACAGTTTAGCGTCGGTTTTTCTCTATTCCTGCTGAAAATCCTGTTAGAGTAATTTTTTTTCCTGAACAGCCATTTCCATTCTGCCAAAACGTTGTTGATGCCACCCCTGCGGCCATTGTTTGTACAATGGTTTTCTATGCAGTCCTTCAGATGTGCGGAATTCAAAGCATCTAGTATTATTGAAGTTGGCGAAATCACTCACCGATACTCAACTCAAAAGGAACAAACAGAGCGATCTGAATAACATTCCGACGATCGGCATTGCTTTTTCTTCAATTGATTGGTTCGATTCATTCCTCAGGAATATACAATATATTTTTTTTTGTACACAGTTCAAAACACGCTTTTTTGCATAGTTTTTAAACCATCGCAAACTTGATCATTTCTCACAATAATTGAAATATTATATTTAAGAAAAAATACCATAATATAATAAATTATTTAAAACAAAAGAACACCCATCGAATCCAAAATAGCATCAATCTGATGAAAGAAAGCTGAAATATATTAAATGATAATCGGGGACAATTTAAAAATAAATCTATAAATGAACTATGAAAAATTATAGCAACAAAAAAACATTAATATAAATCAAACATACACTACTCCTAACTATAATCTTTTTCCTACAACTCCAGAAGTCGTTTAGTCTCCATTATCCAGAAAAAATTATGAAACCAGTTGCCACTTACATTGCTAAACCCTCATCTAATTTGATTAATAAATCTTTTTAGTTAGTGGAATTCCTGTCTATAAAATGATATAGAGAACTATTGTTTAAATATGCATTTCAAGCCAAATTTTATCTATAGTGCATTAAATGATAAGAAAAATAATTAAGCACTTTTAGATGACCTGTAAATTAAAACAGAAGGTATGAGAATACGTGGAAAACCTTATGTTTCGAGTAAATATTTGCTTGGAAATTCAACTTAATTACAGTTTTACAAAAAGTGTGGTTGTAGAAAAAGTATAATGTTCAACACATTCAAATATGCAATTTCTCTCTCGTTTGAACTGGCTTTTATCAAACTCATTCAAAATGCTAAATATTTATCAAACACCAATGTCCCTGTTTATCCTCATATGTTTTATGGAATATGTAACCTGGCGTAAGTCGTATATCAAACGGGATCATTTCAAGGTGGCACACACACGAGCTGATGGCTATTTTTCCAAGGGACAGGACCTCGTCGGACTTCGCAGGACCTCTATATTTCGATCCCCAATAGACCGGAACAGTATCGGCTTGAAATGCGGTTGCATCGTAGCCCCTCACGACAAATTATTTGACATGTCAATAATATTATTATTTTTAAGAATGCAGTTACAAATTTAGAAAAATAATTCAAATAATTAAACCAGATGTCGCGTGTATCGTAAAAATGTTATCGGTTTAAAATAAAGTAGCAGAATCAAAATTTTGTACTTTGCTTTTTTTTATTTTATAAATTAGTAAAAATCATAAATTCTAACATTCTAACAAATGATTATCCTTTAAATTGATTTTTAGTTTTTTTATTTAGTGGGACGTAGAAAAAATATACTGTACAACTTGAGTGGTTAAACTTCGTCTTTATGCAATATAGCCATAATATCCTCTCTTGTTACACAAATTACTATTTGCTTATTGTTGACACCAATGTGTATATGAATGTTTTCTGTAATGCAGTAATGCAATTTTCCTTGCAAGTAAAATTTCCGTAATTCATCTAGCACGTCTGCGCACTTCCGCCCTTCTGATCTTGCAATTATTCTAGCAATTATTCTTGCAATTCTTCTTGTAATTTTTCTTGCAATTCTTCTTGCAATTCTTCTTGCAATTCTTCTTGTAATTCTTCTTGCAATTCTTCTTGCAATTCTTCTTGCAATTCTTCTTGCTTTTCTTCTTGCATTTCTTCTTGCAATTCTTCTTGCAATTCTTCTTGCAATTCTTCTTGCAATTCTTCTTGCAATTCTTCTTGCAATTCTTCTTGCAATTCTTCTTGCAATTCTTCTTGCAATTCTTCTTGCAATTCTTCTTGCAATTCTTCTTGCAATTCTTCTTGTAATTCTTCTTGCAATTCTTCTTGCAATTCTTCTTGCAATTCTTCTTGCAATTATTCTTGCAATTCTTCTTGAAATTCTTCTTGCAACTCTTCTTACAATTCTTCTTGCAATTCTTCTTGCAATTCTTCTTGCAATTCTTCTTGCAATTCTTCTTGCAATTCTTCTTGCAATTCTTCTTGCAATTCTTCTTGCAATTATTCTTGCAATTCTTCTTGAAATTCTTCTTGTAACTCTTCTTACAATTCTTCTTGCAATTCTTCTTGCAATTCTTCTTGCAATTCTTCTTGCAATTCTTCTTGCAATTCTTCTTGCAATTCTTCTTGCAATTCTTCTTGCAATTATTCGTGCAATTCTTCTTGAAATTCTTCTTGCAACTCTTCTTACAATTCTTCTTGCAATTCTTCTTGCAATTCTTCTTGCAATTCTTCTTGCAATTCTTCTTGCAATTCTTCTTGCAATTCTTCTTGCAATTCTTCTTGCAATTCTTCTTGCAATTCTTCTTGCAATTCTTCTTGCAATTCTTCTTGCAATTCTTCTTGCAATTGTTCTTGCAATTCTTCTTGCAATTCTTGCAATTCTTCTTGCAATTCTTCTTGCAATTCTTCTTGCAATTCTTCTTGCAAATCTTCTTGCAATTCTCCTTGCAATTCTTCTTGTAATTCTTCTTCCAATTCTTCTTACAATTCTTCTTACAATTCTTCTTGCAATTCTTCATGCAATTGTTCTTGTAATTCTTCTTTAATTTTTTTCTTGCAATTTTCTGCAATAATTCTTACAATTTTTTTGCAATTCTTCTTGCAATTCTTCTTTCAATTCTTCTTGCAATTCTTCTTGCAATTGTTCTGGCATTTCTTCTTGCAATTGCAGAAAATAGTGATGCCTTAAAAATTTATTGCAGCAGTTATATTGCAACTGCAATTATAGGAAAAAATGGATCTAAATATTAGTTTTAAAATCCTAGACTATATATTTCTGGCATTTGATATGTTTTGTGTTACATTACGGCAAGAAAAATTGCGAACAGAAAAATGGCTCTTAACATTACACTTGAGGCCTGACCTGGATCGACAAGTCTGTTATAAATTATCAGAAGGAAAAAAGGAGAGCTGAACATATTCCGCAAGGATATTGATGTAAAACATCGTACATGTAGGCATAAAGTCCTTGAAGAATTTTTATAACCAGTAAATTTTGGATAAGTAATATAATAAATGGAGGTTCAAACGTGTTATTACCGGTTTCGAGGAAATAAAAGTTTCTAAAGTAATGGTTTTCCGAAATACCAAATTTTATTTTAATTTGGAGTCGTATAAAGTACTCGTACATAGAAAAAATAGATATTTGATCACTGATTCATCTGAGTGGTAAAGTACACCTATTTTTTTTTTACTATCCATTTTCATTAAAAATATATCTCAATTCAACGGTAACTAATATGCAGTTCCTTTAATCCTGTAAATTTTACACAATTCCATATACTGTATATTGTAGACTATAGTTTACTCTTTGGTTTTACTATTTCTTCTAAAATAATAAAAAAGTTTTTCAAAGGTTGCTGGATTTTTGGTGAACACTGTATAAGGCAACCAATAATAAGTCATAACTCGCTAAGCAATTTCATATGGTTGGTAGATATGTTGATAGCTGGGGTTCGTTTATAATTCTTAAATGTGTACCTATAATAAAGAATTGTTTTTTTATTTTGACCAAATTTTTTATTTGTAAGTTATCCTAATTACCATTTTGTTAAAAAAAGTTTACAACGGGATGAAGATTTTAATACAGATTCATATTTTTAAAAGAAAATGTCTTGGAAAAATAATAAATTTTTATCACTTTCAAAATGAAAAAAATCTTCAATATCTATTTCCATTTATTTCAAAGTACCAAATAAAATTCAACAATATGGCGTTCCTTCATAACTATAATATATGGAGCTCATAAAACACAAATGAATAAATTATTTTGTTTTTCGAGTAAAATTACTCGCCAAGGTTGAATCGGAGCAGTAGAGTATTGACGCGTTAATAATAACTAATGAACATATAATTGGCGACCATTTTGATCTGTTTGTGCGTACAAATTATATCAATGAGAGAAAACGGCGTTTTATTGGATCTAGAACACATTTCTTCCAAATATAAATATAGAATTAACATTGCATAAAATATTGCTGAAAGTCATAAATATGTTTTTATGTAAACGATGCAGGCGTGGCCATGTCAATTTGACATATTTCACTGTTTATAATATGAATTAATATTTTTTTTCTACGTTCATGCAAGAAACAAAACTTTATTGTACTATATTTAGTGAAAAAACTGAGTCTTTATTTCACTAGTGCAATAAAAATTTCATTGCACTCATCTGTCATTTTACTACAGCGTTTTATGATCATGACAAACATAAATATTCAAATCAACACCAAATATTTAGTCCATTTTCATTTTCTGTGTTACGTTTTAAAAACAATTGCATATTTTATATTATTTTCAATCATTTAATAAATAAATTAATAAAAAAATGTATTTTATTAAAAATGTCATTACAAATTATGAACACAAACGTAAATAAATGCCTCAAACAAAGATACACGATCACGGCTACTATGATTTGGATAATACAACTGCAGTTCTGTAAAACATTTTTTGGTTTTTGCATGAACGTAGAAAAAATATTGTATGCAACTCGTGCAAAAAGTGTTTATTGCACTTGTTGCATAAATAACTATTAGAGGTTATGTGTTGTGACATTTATGATTTTTCATTTGAAGCAGCGTTGTCATTGACAAATTAACTGAAGAAAAATCTCGGTAATAGAAACATTTATAATAAGTCAATTCTACGTAAAACTTTTTCCCTATACCTTAATTTTTGACGGATTACTCTTTGACGAAGCTCAGATTCATTCTGACAGATATATTTATACCCCACAGATTTAATAATATTGTATAAAATTGTGCGACCACTCTTAAATTCTAAATTTTCTTTAGCGTAAGTTAGTATTTTGTCAATCATTGTAAAGTACTTATTTTAGAATGCAATTGCCAATATGTCATTAAATGACTTTTCTCAAAATCTAGTCAGAAAATTATTTAGTTTTATTCTCTGATATAGACTAAAGTTTGTGTATCATTGATTTTTTTAATAGAATTAAATAATGAAGGTGTTCCAAGCTGAAAAATATCGTGGAACCTAATTTATACTACTTTTTGATACATATTTGGCATATAAATAAGTTTTCTTTATGTACTTTTTTTTACATATATAGTGACATTTTTTGTAAACAGCATCAAAATGATCTACTTTATGCAACCAGTTACGAAAAATTCATTAAGTCACCTGTTGTGAAAAGAAAAGAAAACAAATAAAAATAAACCTTTATTGGTTTTAAAATCATTGTTACTGAAAATATGTATTGAAGAAAGAAATACTGGTTATATAAAAAATAGATTTTGTTAGTGAACCTACAGCCTAATAATAATTCTATTTTGGTCCTTATTTTCCATTCTAAATCTGCACAAAATAAGCAAAATGCAATACACAACAAAATAAACCACTATCTTAAAAACTAAAAACTTTAGTAAACAAGATAAACACCCTACAACAAGAGGTTGAGAATTAATTAATATTTAATGAAATGAAAGAAGTTATGCAACTAACAATGCATGAAAGTAATATTGGTTGCATAGATGTTAGTAATTTTTTACCAAACACGATTTCAATATTAATCTTGTCAAAATTGGAAAACACGTTACAAAATGCTTTTTGTGTAATTCGTTCACTCGTTACATAAAATAAAAGTTTTACAATAAAAAAGAAAAAATAGTTTAGATTCATTTAATTTTATTGTTGGTTGGCTTGCGTCTTCTTCTTTTTGCTGCTCTTTGTTTTATAGACCAACAGATCTTTTGATTGATTAGAATTTGAAATATGTATAAGATTCTCACCAATAAAATGGTTTAAAATATTCAATGAAAAACAGAATGGAACGTGGCAACGTTCCATTTTTTGTTTGGTTGTTTACGAAGAAAAACTATACACAGTGAGCGATATTTGACATCCACAGCAACCCACGATTATTATCATCCTGGGACATATTAGGTTCCTACTAGGTTAATTCTCATTTGTATGTCTGCTTATAATAGTTAAAAATCTATATTTAAAATGCTTTATTCAGCTCTTATTTAAAGGAAAAAAAGAACTATATTATTAAGATGGATCTTTCCTATAACAAAATTTCTTCAGCCCACCCCTTTCCGATATATCACCCTTAAAAGGTAAACACGGTAAATGAATTGTCGAAGTGACAACAGCCTAATATTCTAAAACTTTGTGATTAAAAACAAGGTAGAGGTGGTCATTTCCAGCATTTATTATGAATCATATTACATTTTAAATCTTTATTGTTTCCCACTCAATTTATTAAAAAAATTATAAATTATGGTGTTTATTTTTTTTAAAGCTATTGGTTTTGGGAAAACAATTTAAGAATATTTTTTTTTTAAATAAAACAAGGATTTCAAGTTATAATTTAATTTTATAAAACTTGATCTCGAAAAAAAGTTTTGATATGAAATAAAGTAAGGGTTGCTAATTTCAACCCCCTATAATATAACAGGAATATTGAAAAAATACCCGTGGTTGGTCCTTTGCGAGTGCACGAAAATTACAGAATTTCAAGTTTCTAGCTTTACTGAAATTAAAAAAAAAAAAAATAAATAAATAAAAACTCAATTTTAGTCACCACCTTTTAAGGGTGATATCTCGGAAAGGGGTGGGCTGAGGAAATTTTATTATAGAAAAGACCCATCTTAATTTCATACGAGCAACCACCTCCTGAATTTTGTCGCATGAATTTAGAAACACCCTGTATATTACTTTTGAATACAGATAGCCACTCCTTATTTTTTATATTTTTAAATTTCAGTTCTGATAACAACAATAATTTAAATTTGTTATCGTCTTATAGGCAACACTAAATACACATAGATAACAGTTAATAATAAAACGTATATTTTTAATTTTATAATAGACCCAATGCGGTGTTATTACAAATACTGAGTGAATAGCATTATATTGCACCTACTGAACAAAATTTCACCCTTATGTATCAAAATCTCATTTTAAAAGAATGTACCAAACAGTATTTACGTTTTAATAGACGTGGACACACGTAGAATGTCAATTTAGGCAAGTCAAGTTCTCTTGTTATGATTCCGATGATTTTGCAGAATGTAAGAAACAAGGAGGGGTGAGTCAGCGATTTTCGGGGTTTCTAATAGTCTGTCAATAGGTTTAACATGAATGATGGTCATATTATACAAAGTGGCCTCCGAAATAATAACCAACAGTTTCCATATTATTCTCCTATCACAAAAATATAAATACTTTTGGTAATTGCTACAACTGCCAATATATTCAAAAAATTAGATTAATTTTTGTTTTTTAAATATCTTGCAATGTAGGTATTACGTGGGCACAAAGTTTCATTAAACTTTGGTCTTTATTTTGCGGCAGTACCCTGATACAGGGTGTGCCTAACATTAATTATTTTTTCTAAATAATGATAATGTGATTTACATATATCAAAATGATAAAGCATTTAAATTTAATTTCAAAAGAAAATCCCTTGAAACCAACAGAGTGAGAGAGTGAATGTGTGAGAGAGAGGTGGGCGATAAGCAAGTCAATCTTTATTTTCTATCAAGTTCGCACGTCTGTTGGCATACTCCATTTGTCCCTCCATTTCAGATTGCCCTTCTATCTAGTGTGCTGTGCCCTTGTACGAAGGACACCCCCTGCCGGACACTTTCTCTTATTTAAATCGAATTATACTCGAATTGAAAGGTTTGGCCCTTTGAGCACATCACATAGGTTAGTTTTGGCGCCCGTATATATACTCGTAATATATAAAATGATTGGAAGTGCTTTTATTTTAACGATATTTCAGATATTTTCTTTTACTTTTGTTCTTCAAGTGGAATAGCACTTTTTTTTGAGCTCTTTGGGTCAGTTAATTTTCTGAAGCATTTCGTGACGTGAGATCGGATAAGATTTTACTTGTTCTTGGCTGAAAGTAAAATAAATAACTTTTTTCACCTACCATATGTGAAAATGAATCATATCAACCCTAAAAATATGACCGATAGTAACGTATATCGTCCCATGGGCTGCTAAATTCATAACAGCCCAATTTTATAGTTTTTCACTAGATATCTAGATACCTTTGACTGTCACTTGCGTACTTTGACGTTTCACATAAATTTTGATTAAACGTCAGTGTAAGTCTATTAGTGAACATGAATAGTCATTTAGATAGTGACGAAGAATTTACAAATACTCCACCAAACTTTCCAGGAAGCCAACAATGTTAAGGGACAATTAATATTAATTACTACAATAAATAAATTCGTACATTTTACTACTTAAGTTTCTTCTATTTATAAAATTAAAGATTTTCGTTGTATTTTCCTTTTCTTTGTTTTTTTTTGGTATGCGAAAAATAATTGTGTGTCACACATGCAGAAAACGCTTTAGCAGCCCTTAGCTCATTTTCTGCCATTGTGAGATAATATACTATAGCAGTACCTAAACCTATTGGCGTCACTAAAAAATACCATTTATATTACATTTATAGTTTTAAGCAAATATACGGGTATGGTTAAAAGTTCTGAATATGTATAATTTCTGGTTAATACTTCGAAAATATTTCGTATAAACGAGTATTTTGTCCAATTTGACATGTACCTACTTAAATTACATATTTTCTTTATGTAGGTATTTTGTTATTATACCATCAATTGTTGGTTTAGATAAAGTAGTAAAGTCATCGATGACGATTTGTCCAGGAACCAAATTTCTATCTGGTCAATGTTAATCACAATCCCCACATGAAATTCATCTAACCACAAATAAATTTATAAAATAAATATATAAAGAAGAAATAATATTAACAAAAATGTATTAGTAAAAACCTGATGTGTCCAACACTTTCCTGTCTACAGGCCTTTTCCGCTTATTACAATATATTGTGTCACCATTGTAAATGATTATAGGATGAACTAAATAGGAAGCCACACATCAGAAATACACGTAAAAATATATAATAAAATAAATGATGTCGAAGTAAAATGATTTAACCTCTAGTGTTATTTACATGTGAAAATTTTCAAAAAGTTATATAATTTGGAAATAAGACTTTAAAAACCAAAAAAATTATCTGCTAAAGAATTTTCATTTTTTATTATTTTTTTGTACATTATTTCTAAGAATATTTTTCAAATATGTTTCAGCATAGATTAAAAAACACAAGAAATAAGTAAACATGGCATTTTTTAAATTAATTTTTCAGCTGAATGCCTTCTAATAAGAAACAGAAAAGAACGTCGCCCATTTGGAGAGCATTTTCCTAGTAGAATTCCCGATTTTCACAATAAATTTAAGATGCACTTACTTGGAGAAAGACCTAGTCGAGTTTGAAGGACAATTTTTGATTCTTGACTGGTCGGCAACGGCACTTCCTGCCTCCAAGTCATGTCTGGTTCATTTAACCATAATTTTCCTGCAACAGAGGGAGAATAATCTTTAAAAAAAACTCCTACAACAAATAAAAAAGTAATCATTTTTGTTGAAGGATAATTATTTCATTTACGAAAATAAAATGTATGAAATTTGAGTTTAGCTGGTTTTATGTAGCAAATAACTTTGCAGCAGGAACAGAGTCCGAGTCCGGCGGTTAGTTCTAAGTTGATTTTCGCGTTCATTTGGGATGGAAAAGAAATGAGGGGTCGAGCGCTAACTAAGGGACGCACTAATCAATATCCCCCTTGTCTCTTGCTGTTCCTTTTCGACCAACCTTCTTCCAGCCTCAATTCAGGAGTAGCCACAACACACACAGTCGTTATATATGTAATTCGGGTTGAAGACCTTTCTGTCTATGCAGTTCGCACTATTTCTTTATTTCAGTATATCTGCGTTCCTTGCATAAAAATTTTACAATTTAGAGCAACATATATTATTCATAATTACTTATATACAGGGTGTTAATATTTTAATATACTTACAATAAAAAATATAAAGGCAATTTAAATCTCGTTTTATAAGTTTAATTTGTAAATTTGTAATTTATTGTTGATTTAGAAGTTAGAAAATAGTATATTACACACCAAGGTGGGAAGAGTTTCATTCCTGTCGTGAGATTAGTTAGATCACCGAGACGCGTAGCGTCGAAGTTAGCTATGATCTCGAGACAGGAATGAAACTTTGTATACTATATTATTTACAACATCATATTTCGATCAAAGTTAATAAATCTCTGTTTCGTTCTGAACATACCTAAAATATTACATTTAACGACAAATTACCAAGCGCGCGGTTTTCTCAGAATAATCAAGTAAATATACTGTTACTGTGATTACGGGGTAAACAACTGTCACCAATATAAATAAATGTCAGATAAAGCCGGATATTAAATTCGCGAATAATAAATATCAATAAGTAGTTTGTTGTATTTTATTGTTTGCCATTAAATAGGTATTATAAAATTTGTCAAAAAAAATGTGTTATTTTTTTTAAATATAAAAAATATTCATCTAGAATAGATGAAATGAAAGCGGGAAGTGAGGGCGGGAAGTAGAGATGTGTAATGTGACACTTTCCAACCTTCAATGACGTTAAAAATGACAACATTACATGGTTGTAAATAAACATTTTTTCTGACTCCAGCGTGTGGGGTATCAAATGAAAGCTCTTTAAAGCACGATTTCACAAATATATAATTCGTTCGTTTGCATTACTTTTTTTGTCATTTTGTCAAAAAACCGCAAAAGTAATCTTTAAAAGTAAAGGCTCTGAAAAAAATCTCGATCGTTGAGAATAAGGGTAGATTGAACGAAAATTATCAAAATTATCAAGATTGCATTCCGTTACTTTATATTAGCGCTAGTATACTTTCTCTTTTTAATATATCGATGAATTATCTACATTCTGTGAATAGTTATTTTTAAGAAAAGAAAAATAAAAGGTTGTTTTTAACAAAAAAATGTAAAACTAATTAAATATGACTATTTACATTTATAAGATGTTAATAAGCAGTTCCTACTACCCACTTTGACTAATTTTGAATACATAGTTTTTAGACTTGGCGTAATGGTTTCAAGGAACTGCTTTCAAAGCGGTAGCTGTCCCTGTCGTGACTTTTTTTCGGTGATTATAGCCTTATGTGCTCGGCTTTTTTCTACCACATCTACTTATAAATGAATTATCCTATGTTGAATAAAATCTCATAATTATCTAGGTAGAACGAATGCTAGAACAGAAATTCTCACACATTGGACATTATTGCTCATGGTAATTGACTTATGAGGATCTAAATCACGATTTCCAAACCAAATGTCAAAAAGAAATTGTAAAATGTAATTTTTGTTTAAAATCTTGAATTTAGCTGAAATTGGAAAGTCATTTTTGGGTTCTTCATCAACGAATAAATATTTTTTAATAATTTTAATACCGAGCATGGTTCCTTTATGTAAGTACCCATATTCTAGTAATGTTGTCCTTGACCTTTTTTATTTGACCAAAGACTGAATAAGTAATAGAAAATCCCTGGCACGTACATTCAAACATTCAAGCTCAGTGATGCAAAAAGAGTAAACACTGTTCCTACAGGATACAGAACAACGTGTCCTCTTCAGCCCTCGCATCCCTTCATTTATGCCATCTAACCAGTCAAGTCCGGTCTGTAGTCCAGTACAGAAATTAGACAGGGCCGTAATTTACATTTTTCATCGACTTAAATTATTAGTTTCTTATTCTATTCACTTTAAATTTTAGATATTTGTTATTTTTGATTATACAGTGTTTGCCAAGAAGTCTGCATCACAGAAACTTCATATTACCTATTTAATTTATTACGAAAACATAAATTTATTTCAAGAGTAAAGTATACAGGGTTTTACATATTTCAATTAGAAATGAACAAAACAAATAATTTTTTTTAATAATTTTTTTCTTAAACCTAAAATTAGAGTGATGTGACCCTTTTAAGTTTTAAGTAAAGATCTGTTTTGTTTAGGTGTAGCTTCTTTGCAAATTTTGTTCATTGGAAACTAAGCATTATTTGTTACCAATTTTTAAATAAAAGCAATATTATTGTAATGCCAGCCATTTCATTATTCAGTCATGCTCCAATCTTACAAGTCCCTCTCTGTCTTATTCGGCCTTTGAGGCTCAACTTGTCCGATTATCATACATAATTAAACCCCTTAAGACCAAACATATGTGACGATTATGGTGAAGGTGCTTTCGAGTACATTCCAGATTGAACGTGATAATGTTACTAGTTTTTTGCGAAGAACATTCTAGAACCTTCACCATAATTTTAAATGGGTGTATAAATATTGGTGGAGAAACACGGAGCAGTCAGTAAACAGTAAACAATTTAAAGACATTTAAAATATATATAAATTAGAATAGTACTGTTTTAAAATAAATATGTGTTTAAATAAATTATTAACAAATAAACTGTTATTTAAAATAAACAAACGTAACGTTATAATTATATTCACACTATCCAATACCTAACGGATTAGAGATATTTGTGTTTTTAGTGTAGCAGGAGCATCGTAGATATGCGTCTCCTTCATTTGGGTACTGCGAATTTTCTAGAAATAAAAAAAGTATTTTTTTTCTCACATTTGGATTATCACCTTTTAATTCGTTTTATCCAAATGAAGACATATTTTTTTGTGTGTGTGTCATCGGCTTCAACTGCTAGGGTTATCTCGCCTCGTGTTCTGTGCAAGCTTTGTTACTGTTTCCCCGCGCCACTTTAGGAACAGCTCTGTTAATTAGAACCCAACATTGAATGGTCGAGTGGAGAATCCTACTAAGGCATCAGAATTCATTTTAAATAATTAAATTAAATTAAAAAATCCCGGCTAACGCGCAACGGTGGGATTCGAACCTGGGACCCTTGGATCCACAGGCAGAGACACTACCACTGAGCCAACCACCCCCCATGTAGACATATTCAAAAATAAACTTTCAAAACACTATGTATGCCTTTATTTTTGACACTGTCAATATCTACCAGTAAATTTAGATATTTTGAAGTTTTTTCAGAAATCTGTCAAAAATTACTAAAAGAACGGGCCAATAAAAACTCTGAAAAATGAATGGTCTGGGAACACAATTGCTCCCTCCGCGGCCACTACTGAATGTAGTTCTTCGGAAACTACTTATGATAACAAAACATTCTCGCTCTTGAGATTGATAGAAAATTCTAAAACTCCTGTGTCTTATGTATTTTACACGTGTTTCATTCTAACTCTAGAGACATAATGTTTATTTTGTAATAGCTACTGGCCAATGGCTGTGAATACCACACCCGCTTCGTAGATAGTCATGAATATCATGACTGACAGTTCTACGCGACGTATTTAGTTTGAATTTGCCTGAATAAAGATAAGCGGTATGTGTTAAGTCGAACTTAAATTTAAACATTGGTGATTATAATGATACACGGAATTTGATAATATTTCTCCTAAACTGACAAATTATGCAAATAATTTAAATAAAAACTTACGTATAGTCTTAATAAAAGAGAAATGCAATAAAAGTGAGGATATAACGTCACATTCCATAGGCGTATTTTGTAAAATGAGTCTCTATAATATAAATAAGGTCACGACATATAAAATATTATATACGCACTTTCTAGATTAAATTTGGATGAAAAAAGTTAAATTATTCACAAAAAATAAAAATAAACCTTATGCTTCTGATAAAATTGTTGCACTTTAACATTGATCGAATTCTTAAAACTACAACCTTAAACTTAAGCAAAACCTTTTTCTAGCACCAAGTGATGTGGCATCGAGTTTTGTGATTTATTGATTGAAGTTCAACGGTTTTAAAATTGTCTCGAAAAAATATATATTTGAATAAGTCGACAGTCCGTCTCTGTGACATGCTTCGGAATAGAAAAAGAAGGCCGCAATTTACTTAGGGAGCCGTCGTCCGGAATCAAATTGTGAATCTTCAAAAGAAAGTGTCTAACCCTCCGACGACGGGTCAGAGCTAAAATGCCCCCATTTCGACCGCGGACTCTCTTTTATTTAATTCCAATTCCAACGCCACGCCGGCCGTTTATCTCTGCAAATCACATAGCCCTTGGATGTTAAATCTTGACTACTAACTTTCAGGAAATTGAAGATTAAAGATCTTTTACAGAGGTTGATGGTGTCTGCGACCAATGGGACATTTTACAGGGATCTATTTATAGGAAAACTAGTAATATCACAAAATATTTTTAGGCGTGTACCTGCAATAATATGCGACACACTTTTCTTTCTCATATATAATAAAGCATTCTAGTTCTATACGTAAAAGTATGTTGTTACAACAAGAAACATACGGGCCTATATCTAATATAACCGAACAATGAACGATTTACCGAGATGTCTCCTTTAGGTTACAACCGCGTTAGTCTATCGCTAAATATTCGAAACAATAATTTTAATAAATTAGTAGAATAGGGAGATCTACACCAATAAAAAACCCT